GCACCCAAGCATAAGGTGCTTGTCCACTTGCCTTCCACAACTTCTGGTACATCTCCACTTCCTTCTCGGCGATCGCCACTGGGCTGCCTGAGACAACTGGCCCTGAACACTGAGCTGGCTCCGGTATGGCCTTGACCTTCGTGAGTCTGCGAAGGGCGCGCGCGCCGCGGGAAACTGACTCGGCACACCACTCACTCCGCAACTGCGCAGACTCCTTGTTCATGCCTAACACCGCTGCCTCCAAGTCATCATTCACCTCGTCTAAGCACTGGGAAATCGCATCAGTGTCCATGGGGATGCCACTGACCAGATCGCGCGCTTGGCTGACAGAGAAATCGAGGCGCGCATGGAGCCCTTGACCATGATACTGCACCGTGAGAAAACTGTCGATCTCGATAGGACACTGATCTAGATTGCTGGTCCCACGATAGAGCTGCAATATCGCCTGAAGACTGTTTGTCATCCACTGCCAGCCTTCCGCGATCAACTTCGCGTGTGTATCATCATCTATCTCATACGTAGCATCAACCCACCTGGGAGACAAATTGCGACCGAAAGCTCCAGGCTCTTTCAACTCCGCGCCAAGGTTGATCGCCACCTGCTTAGCTGCCGTCACTGCGAACTTCGACCAAACACGTGATAGAAAAACCCATACAGCTTCGACCGACTGCGCCTCGTCCGTCGCCATGGCCAGACACGCCTCAGCAAGGGCGCGGTGAGTGCTCCAGTCAGCTGGGGCTGCAGTGGGTCCTATCACTGGAGCCGACGGCAGTGATGGCGAAACGGTGTACACGAAGTGACGAATACTGTATCCGTTGTCCACGATACTGAGCAGCACAGGTCGATGCGGTCGTTTAGCCCATCGCATTTCAGCTTGCACACCTCTGAAACCACGCACCGCCACATCGTTTAGGGCGAAGTAGTCGATAGTCGTGGAAACCGTTCCTGCTCGACATGTAACTTGAGTTGGCACTACCATGGTGACCTTTGCCGTGCGAGGAAAACCAGTAGACTCCAGTTCTGCCACATACATATTCCAATCACATCCAGCAATACATGGCCCACGACAGTCGGAGAAACATTGCCCGAGCTTGGCCAAGATAGTGGAGTTGATGCCCGTGGGACCGATGGAGTCCTTGAGATATCCATTCAGCACGTGATAAGCTGGCCATCCAGGGAGGTCTACCATCACATGCTGCAGTCGATGTGAATACATAACGTTTTGTCCAGGCTCGGGCTTACGCAGCCCAAGCTCAGCACGTGCAAACACCGCTACTCCAGCAGAAGGATTACCTCCAGTAGCCACGCCAGGAACTGCAATCAACTTCCATCCACAATTGCGCGCCCACGTGTACAAGGACTCGACGTTGGATGCATCATATCCAATCTCTTGAGCCAGGATTACATCCGCACATGAACGTGTCACTCGATCTTTTAACGTATTGCGACCACCATTTGCGTTGAAAGATTCGAACGGGTACGTGCTCTGCGAAGGTGGTGCAATTATAGGCTTCGCCTTTCCTGTCATCGATACAGGTGCGCCAGAAACTCTCACAGCCACAAAACCATCTGCCAAGCCTGAAGGTCGGTACTGCGACCCGCCACTGATCCCTGCAGTTGACCCGCGAGGTCCAGAGAGTGAGCAGTGCGTGCCATCCGTGGATGGTGGGTACCCTCTACTCTCAGCGACCCTCATTGCAGGCGAGTCGCAGGAACCTAGCGAGCCACAATGCGTGCCGACAGGCGGTGGTACTGCATCTGAGAAATCCACAATTTCAGAAAACACCTGTGACCTTGGTAGGGTGGGCTCCGAGGAGAGCAGGGGCTATGCGTTCCTCGCAGCGCACAATGAAACTGAATCGATGCCAGAGATCACCCTGCACATCGTCTCGTACGCGCTACCCGCGTCGTTGTCGCTTGGCGAACTCTCCCAGCTTGGTGTTGAAATCCTCGAAAGTATCAGATTCGAAGAGATACTGCTTATCTTCGTCGGACAGGTCCTCGAAGGTGCGCTTGGGGGCTTCACTGGGGCCAGTCTCGTCCCCGCCCCCAGCACTAGACTCGCCATCGTCACGAGCAGGAGCTGGAGGGGACGCAGCAGCGAACTTGCTCTTGAGCACCGACTGCAACTTAGTCCACAACTCGGACCCGAGGAAGGACTGCACATCGCCATCACTGACGTCCGAGGCCTTGACATCGAAGTCAAAGTTGGGTGCAGCTTTGGTGTCGTCGTCTGGGGCAGGATGGCCGACCAATGCCGCCGCACGCTTGAACTCCGCCCCCAGGGTAGCGACCTCAACACGTTTAGCTTGGAGCTGCGCACGTCGAGATTCCAAAGCTTCCTGCATCTTGGCAATCTGCTGCTCCTTCTCGTTGATCTCACTCTCCAGCTTCGCACTGTTTAACTTAGCTTTTTCCAGATCTTGCTGTGCACGGCGGTGGGCTTGCGTAGGAGTCCGCAATGCCTTGTGCTGCTCGCGCAGCTCAGCCAATTTGTCCTTCGTCGCCTTCTTGATCCGGTCAGTCTCATCGCCAGGAAGCGCCTTGAAGATGGACTCATATTGCGCAATCTGGCTCGATAGCGTCGTACGTTTGGTCGAATCATCTTCTTCCGTGTCCTTGCTGTTGCCATATGCTTTAGGTTCTTGCTTCCACGGCGGTACCCCTTCGCCTGGCGCTGGCCAGACCTTCGGAGGCACCGCACTTGTGGATGGAACGCCCTTGCCGAGGAGAAGCTTCTCGATGGCCTCCAGACGCTTACTCGTTTCATCCTTATGATTGCCGCTTTCTTGTCCTCTCCCACCTGAGGAGCCACCTTTGGAAAGGATCTCTTGGTGAGCGGTCCAAGCAGCCTTCTTGATACGTAACGGCGCTTCATTTCCACACTGACAGCGGATGCGCGATGCCCAGTTCGCAGAGGCTGAGCACCGCCCGCATGCCCAAGTGGGCCGCCGCGGCCCGCGCAGCACCGCAGGGGCGGACGGCGGCGGCCCTGGCGCCATGCTGGCGCCCGCGTCTGACTCTTCTGGGAGGGAGCCCAACCCCTCGGTACAGGCGAAAGCAGATGTCGGGCGCAAGCGCCCTGGCACAGCCGCGGACTAGCGGTATCCGTGAAAGCCAATGCGGGCTCAGCCCGCCAACTCATGGGTCTTGAGCCAAAATGGCCACGGGGAGGAGGGGGAGGAGGAGGAGGAGGAGGAGGAGGAGGAGGAGGAGGAGGAGGACACAATGAGTGATGTGGGGGAGGAGGACTTTCTCTGGCACCAATCTCGGTGCCAATGCCCAATGCATCAATCATGACTCATGACATCGCCACTTCCCCAACCTCTGCAACCCCACAAGTCGGCGGCGCGAGGGTGGGGAGGGGGGGGGGGGGGCAGGCCCTCTCAGAGGGCGGCGAGGCTTCTGGCCCTCTGAGGAGCCCCCTTTGGCTTCGCAGAACGCACAGAAAGCTTCTCGGCTGTCTAGAGGCTTTCCAACCTCCTGAGAAGGCACACCCCATCTGGTTTCCCCCCCGGATGCGCCGCCGAGACCTCCTCCCCCTACCTCTGGCGGTGCGCACAGGGGGGTAATTGGGGGGAGGGGAACAGCCTTCTTGGAAGGGGGCTGCTGCTGAGAAGGCGCTGGTCCTACATTCGAAGAGACAAGTCGCGCGCCGTCTGAGAAGCCTTCCCCCCTCCCCCTGCCCCACTCTGCGCGTGGCCGATCGTGAGCGTTTTCTGTTTCGGCGTTTCGACATTGGGTGGAGGGGGGGGGGAGGGGGGGTCTGGCTCTGGACCTCTGCTGAGAGAGGCTGCTTGCAACCGCGCGTCCTGTGAAGGAGGGACTCCGCCTGCCTGCAACAGGTGCCAAGGGCCCGCGCCGATCGGCAAAACAATGCATAAGAACACGATCACGTGGCCGATCCCTCCCTCCCCGCCTCGCTCACTCGTACCTCCGCGGCTCGTCCCTCGATGGGGCACGCAGATGCTCACGGCAATGATTTTGTCGGCGAGGCCCGCCGCCCCCTTTGGCCACCAGACCCCACCTCTCCTGCGGCGCGCCACCGCGCTCGGACACCCCTTGCCCGTGCATGTGTTGCAGATGTCGTACCTGTATTTCTAAAAAGGGGCCCTGGAACACACATAGACACACATCCCAGAAATCTACATATGTTCTTATCGTTTCTGGGTTTTCGTCTTCCACCCCCACTTCCGACTTCATCCCATATTTCCCAGGGAGTCGACGATTCATTGTGTCTGTGTGCCTTTTCCCCTCCTGATATTTGTTCGGTTCGATGCTCCACTCTGCCCTCGCCCCCCCCCCCTCAAACATTGCACACGTCCGAACGATGCCACAGCGGAGGCAATGTCGGGGTCCGCCGTGCGGGTGTGCCCCGATCCGTGTGGATCAGGGTTGGATGCAGATGTCGCCCATACTACGGTGTGGTGACCGTCCAAAGATGGAAGTGCATGCCTTCTCGGCGCATCCCAGACGCCTGGCCCCTGAAGACGCCCTTGCGGCGGTCAACCAGAATGCTCATTGTCGTGCACCCAGACTCGTTGTCTTATGACGTGCGGCGAGACGCCGACAAACAGAGCCTTGCCACAATGACAATTGAATCGGAGACGGACTCACGTGTTGGCAAGCGCTGCCTCGCACGCGCCTATATTTAAGGGGAGACCCCGAGGAAAAATCATGGCCTAAGGAACCTCGCGATCCTCCCAACATAGACGTTTGTTCGTTTCGATGTCAACAAGCTCCGCACAGCCTCTTGGTGACGACCGTGGGTCCTGCAAACACGAGCCTTGGGCGAACCAGACAACTGGCGAGTGCAGCAAGCCCAATGCACACTATTGTCAACTCATCAGCTGAAATTGCTTGGTCGAAAGCATTGTGAAACACTAAGCTGGAATCAGAACTTCCGAAACATACGTTGTCCCACTCTTACGCCGCACTTGAACTGTAAACATTAGATCCGAGCGGGCTCACTGTTGCAGTCCTCGCCCCCCCCATCCCGCCTTGATCTCGCTGACACCGTCGATCGTCTTCACCTCCAGCGTCGTGCCGAGGATGGCGTCGAAGCAACTTATGGAGCCCTCGGTGTAGATGTCGAACGCTTCGCGCTGGAAATCCTCAGACGGGGACAAGTTTCGCAATGTCTCACATGCCAGCCGAATCCGTTTGGCACGCAGAAAGCCTTGTACCACCAGTGCCACCAGGTGGATGCAAAAGTGTGGCACCGATGCCGCCGTGTTGGGCCCAGATGTGGCCAGCACCCGCCCAACGCGCCGCCCCTGGCGCGGTCCGCGCGCCAGGCAGGGGACCCAACGCAAATCCTGGAAATCCGCGCGGAGCGCCAAAGTTTCATGGCTATGCCGTTTTTCTCCTTCGAGCCAAGTGGAAGGCGGGGCCAGCAAAGAGGGGGGGTTAGCGGATCGGCCCACGCAGCTGCTTTCTTCCTGGCGCCTCCCCTGGCGACGGAGGCGCCAGTGTGACGAAAGGCGCGCCCGGCGCGCCCCACGGCGGGGCCGAAACCAGCCACATGCAGCAGATTTCGTACAGCAGGTTCGCATCGTGCCGACTTCGGCGCTCGTTTCTGACACCGCGGGGATCGTTCAACCTTGAACGATCGGCCGTTTCCGAAACGTCAAATCGTTCAACATCGACCGATTCTGGGTCGCTGACAGCGTTCAACGTGGAACGCTGGCGGCGGGGTCGCCGCCGGTCGACACGACGCGAACCTACCGTACCCCATCTTTCCCTGTTCCCCCCATGATCAGCAGTAGAAGGACCCCTGACCCATTGGGAGGGGGCCTAAGTTATGAAGGCCAAAAACATGAGGGATAAGGCGGTCTTTGTGGCAGATGTATCAAACCAAGCCGCCCAGACCTATGATCCCTAATACGAAGGCGTGGACCGAACTGATGCCACGTCTTCATTGTATTATGAGGGTAGGGATTATTTTGTTCTCGATGACCGATGACCCCTCTCGTCCGACCGGAATGATCCTCGCCGTCGAATTTCGAGTCGTATCTCGGGTCTCCAGCGCCCGTTCGAGACGACCTGGACGCCCCAGGAATGGCCTCAGCGAGCCGCAGCTGCTGGAGAGCGTCCGGAAGCTGGAACACAGCAGAGAGCCCACAACAACGCCTAAACAACTCGAGTCCCGAACCGAAGCTCCCCCAGGCTGTGGCTGGCCTGCTGGGATCAGTGCGGGGGTTGTTAAGGGGATAGAAGGTTTTCTCTGTATGTGGGTGATATCTGGCCTGACCTAGCCTATGAGTGGGTTGCAGATGCCCTTCAGGGTGAGTGGGCTCCTCCCACGTAGAGAAGTTATCTCACCCCCCAAGCCACTGGAGATACTTGTAACCCACTTATGAGCTAGGGTAAGCCAAATATAACGCACCTAAACATCCACTGATAACCACCTCAACCCCAGGCGAGCCCAGAATCGCATCGACAAGTCGGATCGGCGATCGAAATGAATCGGATCGGAGGAAATCGGCAACCACGTCGGGGAAGTCGAATCGGCAGAACTCGGCAGGCTAGTAGGCCTCCAAACAAGAATCGGAATCCAAATCGGAGTCCGAAGCCGAATCGAATCGGAGTCGGAAGCCACCGAAATCGAATCGAAGCGGAAGAATCGAAATGAGCCCTGCAACCCCTCAGCAACCCCCGCGCCGATCCCATTGGGGAAGAGAGGGCCAATGACCGTCAACGTCGGCCAGCCCCACCGCCGACACCGTGTGCGGCGCCACGTCTGTCGGCCGCGCGAGCGGGGCCCGAGTAGACGGTGTCGGGGGCGCCGACGTCTGGGCGATGGAGAGGATCGGGCTGCGAGTCTTCGGGGGCGGCCACGAGGGGGGCGTCCAGAAGGGGGGGGCGCAAATCATGGCCAGCGGCAAGTGCGTGGCCCAAGGGGGCCAGGGAGGCGCCATGGAACCTGAGGAAATATCAGGGCCCACGCCATGGTATTCCCCCCCCTAGCCGTCACCCCGCTCTTTGCCGCCTCTGAAGTCTGCGAGGCGGGGATGTATCAACCTATTGGAGGATCGCGCCGCATCGCCGACGCATCGGCTATGCATCGGCGACGCATCGGCGCCGTCGGCGTGGAGAAAATCAGGCTCCACATCGAGCCGTCTCGCCGATGCATCGACGATGCGACGCGATCCTCCGACCCCACTTGCTCGGACCCCGTTTGGGAGGCCTGGAACATCACCACCGCTGTGAGGATCGTTCGTTGGGGACCTCGGCAGGCGGTGGATACGGATACGTTTAGGCCCCCTAGGGTTAGGTCGGGCATGTTCCCCTACCTGCAGAGTTTAGAGAAAAAGGGAGACACACTCAAAACACAACAAAAAATGACAAACATAGTCAAACCATCGTTCCCGGACTAGTCTTTAATCGTTTTTGACTGTTCCTCCTGTAGGGGGGCATGCCCGACTTAACCCTAGGGCTAGGTTGGACATGTCCCCTTACAGGCGGATTTTGGACGAGAAGTTTAGAATAGCCAACGATATGCCACAATGGCCCAACAACAAACTATGTGTTGAACATGTTTGAGCATTCCCTCCTGTAGAGGGACATGCCCGACTTGAACCCAGGGGCTCGAATACAACCACAGCCGCCGCCTGCCGAGCCTTCCGAAGGTCGATCCCTCAAGCGGTGGTGACGGATCCCCAAAACCCCGCCTCGGAACATCGAGACCCATCGCCGATGCATCCCTCCTCCTCCTCCTCCTCCTCATCCTCCTCCTCCTCCTCCTCCTCCTCAACCTCAACCTCATCATCATCATCATCATCATCATCATCATCATCATCATCATCATCATCATCATCATCATCAGCATCAGCATCAGCATCAGCATCATCATCATCATCAGCATCATCATGATCATCATCATGATCATCATCATGATCATCATCGGCGGCGCGGCGCGGGCCGCCGACCCAACCCGCTTCTAGAGAAAGAGAGAGAGAGAGGCACAAACATCAACGTTTGGCGCTCCGCGCGGACCTCTTGGATCTGCTCAGGCCTCTGGCAACGCCCCTGGCGCACTTCGCCCGCCAAAGAGCGGGGTCCAACGCAGCTCCAAGACATCCGCTCGGACCGTCAAACCTTCATGTTTATGCAACTTGTTTTTGGTGCCATCGCTCGGACGTCCATTCTCTGTGAACTTGTCGGCGTCGTTCCTTTTTTCCCCGCGCGATGATCCAAGAGGCTCCGCCACGGTCCTCGCCGAGAACAAATGCGCACGTCCCAACGACGCCGAGCATCCTGGCCGGCCTGGAACTGCACCGCTCCCGCGTGCGGGCAAGACTTGTGTCCTAGTAGTTATCCGATGCAGCTTGGAGCTTCGAGCTCCGTTCCCCGTAGACCCGAGGAGCACTGGATGGGGATAAGACCTGGCCCCCAGAGGCTCGACCTCTCTCTCCGTATCCAGTGCGCCTCCGCCTTGCGGCGCCCCCTCCCAGAAGGTTCAGGACGCGCCGGATATGGACCGAGCTCTTGCCCGCACCGAGCCTCGCCGCTCGCAGGAGGCGCCAGACGCGCCCACGGCGCTCGCGCGGACGTGGCCTGGTCGGCCCGGCGAGCCGCGCGCTCGCGGCCGGGCGCTGTGGCTCGACGCCGCGGGCCGTGGAGCCATCGCCACGCCTCCGAGCCGTCGCTGGCACGGGGCCTACGGGCGGCTCGGCGTTCGCTATCTCAGAGCTCCTCTCCCCGCGCGCTCCACACTGCTCGTGAGCGTTGTCTTATTCGGCGTTTCGCCACTGGGCGGAAGGGGTGGGTCTGGCTCCGGCTCTCTGCTTGATGCGGCTGTTTGCAGCAGTGCGTCCTCTGGGGGAGCAACACACAGCCAAGATCTACACCTTGGGGGGTTGGGGGGTGGGGTGGGGGGTGCGAGGGCCCGCGCCGATTAGCAGAACAATGCATCACGAAAACGATCACCAGCGCCGACGGCACTGTTCGGATCGAATTTCGCTGCTCAGCCTGCTGGGCGCGTCGTCCGGCAACACACTAGGGCTCCCAACTTCGCGCTTCGCGCTCCGCGAAGCGCGAATCACTTCGCGCTCTGGCGCCGCCCCCCCAAGGGAGAAAAGGAGGACGAGGAGGATGGGGAGAAGGCACGAGGACCGCGAAGCGCGAATAACTTCGCGCCCTCGTGGGAGCCCTTGAAAACACCTCTTCTGGGTGCTCGCCGCGGCGTAGGGAGCGCCGCGGGGGCCCCTCGCCGCGAGGCCGGCCGGCGCGGGAGGCGGAGCTGCCCTTTGTGGGCACGGCAGCGGCAGAGCTCTGGCGCCCGCGGACGTCCTGGAGCCACGCGGGCGCAGCGAGAGACAGCTCGGGGAGCTGCGAGGTCCGACGGTCCTGGAGCGTGCTCTGGGGCGCTGCGGCCGCTGCAACGCGCTTTTGGAACGCGCTGGAACAACGTGTGCTGATCCTGGACCCGCCCGCACAAAAAAGGTCCTGGGGGAGGAGGCGGAGGAGACGACGACAAGGAGAAGCGAGGTGGAGGAGGGGGAGGGAGAGGGGAAGGGGAAGGGGGAGGGGGAGGGGGAGGGGGAGGAGGAGGAGGAGGAGGAGGAGGAGGAGGAGGAAGAGGAGGAGGAGGAGGAGGAGGAGGAGGAGGAGGAGGAGGAGGAGGAGGAGGTGGAGGAGGAGGAGGAGGAGGAGGAGGAGGACGAGGAGGGAGGACGAGGAGGAGAGCGCTCTGGAACAACTTCTGCTGGTCCTGGGTCCGCCCGAGAAAAGGTCCTGGTGGACCCGTGTCCTGGACCAAGGGGCGTCGCCACTGGGGGCCCGGGGACAAATAAATGAATACACAGAATCCCAAGAGTCCGCATCATTTCCTATATTTTCTGCGTTTTCGTCTTCCCCCCACTTCCCACATTTGTCCGCATTCTGATGGGAGTCGACGCTGAACTGTGTCTGTGTGTTTTTCCCTTCCTGACACTGGTCCGCCTTGTCATCCCGAACCGTTCTCTGGCGCGGCCCAGGATCTGGCGGGAGCCTAACGGCGCAGCGCCTCCAGGACCACATTCCCTCCAGGGCCGCCTCCTTCGCGCTGATCTCACGCAGGACGGTACTCAGGCTCGGCTCATGATACGTTCCAAGATTTCCAGGAAGTATGCAGCGGCCCTCGTTTCTCGAGCCCGTGCGGAACAGGTGGGAATCTTGGGAATCTTGAGGCGTACCATTATCACGACTGCCTGCTCCTTTCATCACAACTTCTAACGAGAACGGCGAAGGAGAAAGCTGGACGAGGCCGAAGTCTAGGAAAAGCGCTTCGATCATAAATCAATATCGTCGGACATATGGTAGCCTCGAGTGAGAGCGGCGAAGGGGACGATTGATGGGGTCCGAACGGATGGGGTCGGAGGAGCGCGCCGCATCGCAAGTGCATCGGCGACGCACCAGATCGAGCCGCATCGGCGATGCATCGGCGATACGCTGCGATCCACCGACCCCATCTGCTCGGAACCCATCAGTAGGAGGCCTAGTGGAGAGTGACCCTGGGTAAGAGTGACCTTTGGTGCGCGGATTTTCGGGGGCCGCGGGGGGCAAAAAGCAAGCGCGCAAGACGCCACTGCTGCCTCGCGTTCGGCGATCGAGGAACCACAGTGGGCCAGCACCAGAGGTCACTCCGGCGAAGAGTCACTCGCAACGTATATAGAAGCCTCCTAGATGGGGTCGGAGTGGATTGGGTCGGGAAATCGCGCCGCATCGCCGATACATCGGCGATGCATCGGCGACGTCCGCGTGAATGAACTCGGGCTCCACATCGATCCGCATCGGCGATGCGGCGCGATCCTCCGACCCCATCTGCTCGGAACAGATCTGGGAGGTCTGATTTTAGCCGACTTCTCTGGGAGGCCTGGGGGAGAGATGGACGAGTCGCGGCGGCTCGGTCCGAGGAGTCCCTGACCTTGACGGAGATGTACAGGTCGCCGGGCGGGCCGCTCTTCTGCCCCTTGTCGCCCTGCCCTGCCTCGCCCTCGTCGAGGCCTTCGTCGTCGTCGTCGTCGTCGTCGTCGTCGTCCGTCGTCGAAGTCATGTTCGTCGTCGTCGCGTTCGTCGTCCTCGTCCTCGGCCCTCGTCCTGCTGAGCCTCTCGCTCTCCAAGGCCTCAGCCCTCCCGCGCTTCTCCCTCCGGTCCTCGTCATCGTCGCCCTCCTCGGGCAGGAGGGGAGGCAGGATTGGCTCATATACTCATGGGGGGGCTCTCCCCGTTCTTCTCGCCCTTTTCCTCCTCCCCCTACTCATCCTCACTGTACCTCCCCAGCGCCTCTGATCCTTCCTCCCCCCTCCCTTCTCCACTCCATCCTTCCCCCTCCTCGCCCTTGTCCTGCTACACGTCGCCTTCCTTTTCCCTCCTTTCTCCGATCGGCATGTCCAAACAGTGGATGTGGGGCAATGGCTTATGCGAGGCGGGGCATGACCAGGGACGAGCTCGTAGGTTATAGTTGCCTGTTCCCTCTCATTACTTATCCTGCTCCCTCATCCCGCCCCTTCCAGCCTGCTCCACACCCTCTCCCCCACATTATCTTCCTGACTCCTGTCTACTGCTCTCTCTTCTTCCTTCCCCACAGACACCTCATCCTTCATATCTTCTTATTCCTCTCCTCCCCCCTCCTCGCCCAGCTCCCCTGCTCCCCCCCCCCGCCACGCAGCGCAGCGCGACTGCGAGGCAAAACAGGGGTGCGTCGCAACAAGAACACCGCCGCACTGCGCAGCACGACTGCGAAACAACCAAAATATGCTGAAACGACGATGCCGACACAGTGCAGAATAACTGTGAAGCCGAAGCACAACTGTCAAACATATGCGAAATTCCAATGTAAACTACGCTGAATACGCAGCCCGCTACGACACGAAGGCGCCGAACGCGAGCATTAGTAAGCCGAATGTGCCCTGACCTATACAAATCGCGATCCACAACTTCGCTGCGGACACGCTTCTGAGGCTCGCGGGCCCCCCGCCCGGCAACAATCCCAGCCAAATCCGGGCCGGTGCCGGGCAACATCCCAGCCAAATCCCCGCCGCGGCCCCGCCGCCGCCCCCCCCCAAAAAGCTGCCACCCCTCTAAGAAAATCCGCCGCCAGCAAAATCCCAGCAAAATCCCCGCTGCGGCCCCGCCGCCGCCCAGCCGCCGCCAAGCCGCACCCCAGCCACACGCCTTCTCCCCAGGGGCCCCAACGTGGCCCCATGGGACCTCGCAGGAAGAAGGGGCGCGATGGGGAACAGGAGGGGAGCGACGGAAGAGCATGGCTGCAGGAGGGGGAAGGAAGACCGCCCGGAGCGAAGGGCGGGAGGAACGGCAAGGAGGGCGCGAAAGGAAGGCGGGAAGGCGACGAGGGAAAAAAGGAGGAGGAGGAGGAGGGAGGAGAGAAGCGGAAGGAGGACGGATGAGGGAGGCTAGAGGGAAGACAACGTGAGACAGGAAGAGGATGGAGGAGGGACCACCACCGAGGAGTGAGAAAGGAAACGCAATGAAGGAGGGCGAGGGCAGGGGGCAGAGGATAAGGGGTTGGGCCTGCGCGGACCTGGGAAGGCATACCAGTGACGTGAAGAAAAGAGGGAACTGTTGGCCACAACGAATACGACAGTGATAATGGAAGCATCATAACATACTTGAATGGACGTGTTTGGTTCGACGTGGACCTCCGCAAAAGTGGGATAGGGACCGCCGCATCTTCACCACGGCGGACGGCAGCGTCGGCGCCAGGGCCGGCGCGCGCGAAACGCACCAGAGAAAACAACTCGAACAATTCGATTGACGAGGCGTGCACGAGCGGCCTCGAAGCGGACGCAATCGTAACGATTCGGCGCCGTTCGCTACGACGCCATCGCTGGCCGCGCCAGCCAGACGCAAGCACACGCGAGAGACTGCAGCGCCATAGCCGCGCTCACCGCGCGTTCCAAAAAAACAGCCGCAAAGAAAACAACAAAAACACGCGCAAAGATGTGCGAGAACACGGGTGGGGTCAGCTGGATTTCGGCTTTGTTTCCGTGCGAATTACACTTGGGGGTGGTCATTTTCGCCTGGGCCTCCTCAGCCGGGCCCCGGGAGGATGGCGATGGCGCCCAGAAAAAGGGCCCGCGGCAGCGCGCATCCTCGGCCAGACACCCAAGCTCGTTGCGGTCGGGGGCGCGCCGCGCACCGGGCCCGGCCTCGACGCTGAGCTAGTTCCCTCGGGCCAACGCGGGCGTGGTCGAGCAGGTCTCCCTTGTCCGCGGCGAGATGCCTCTCGGACTCGAAGTGCCAGCCTATCCGCGACATCGTCAGCGCCGCGGCATCCACGGGCGAGGCGCGGCATGCCCAAGTTTTGGTTGCCCTGGCGCGGGGGGGGCCGCCGCTGCCTCCAGGCCCTCAGCCAACATGCGGCTCGGCGGCTCGCCCGACTTCAGGTGCTGGGTCGAGGCCCCGACGCCGCGCTGCTTTTGCGCGCCGCAAGCGAAACCCCTCGCCGAGCCGCTGGGTAGCTTGCCCGCGCCGTGGGCCGCCGCCGCCCGCCAGCGACGCATCTCGCCGTCGGGGGTGCCCGTCGCTGTGCGGCCCTGGGCTATGCTGGCCGTGCCTTTTGGACCAAGTCCACTTGCGCTCTTCCCGCCGCGAGGCATGGCACGCTGCGCGCTTTCGCCGGAGCTCCGCCCGCCCGGCGCCGACCCTCGTGGGCGCCGCGCATGGCGATGCTGGCGTCTGCGCCGAGGTACTGCGCCTGCTGGGCGCGGTGGAGGGCCCAGCAATGGTCGTTCCAGAGACCGCCGAGCCGCTTCGTGAGCGCAGGGCTGGTCGCCAGGTGGCGGGCCCTCGCCCCGCCGCGGGGAAGGTGCTCCACGCCTGGCAGCCCGGCGACCCCCGAGCCCGCGCTGCCGAGCTGCCGCGCCACTGGCCGCATAGCGCCGACCGCCTGGAGAGCCGCGTCGTCCGCCGCGTCGCGGGTGCTCGCCAGCGGGCGTTCTGCCGACGATGCGGCCTGCGGCGCCCCCAGCACTGGCAGCTCGGCTGCAACGGTCGCGCAGGCGGGCCCCGCGAGGACCGTGCCCAGCGCGGCGTAGGTCGACGAGCCGAGGCCCACGCAGCTTTGGAAACGCAGGCTCTGATACATCGCCGACAGGCCTCGGAGAAGGCCGAGGTTGAACCCGCGGGCGATCGCGCGCCGCCAGAGCTCGTCGCGCCGCAGATAATCGTAGGGCTTGGCAATGTCCAGGAAGAGGCCCTGGCCGCGAGGTCGCTCCCCCTCGACGCCCGCGTTCTCGCAGCCTCGGTCCGCCTTGCCCGAACAACAGAAAAGCGGTCGCACTCTGCCTCCCATTGCGATCAGATCGGCCGCCTGCACCTCGGCGAAGGGATCAGCGGGATTATGGCGAGCCCCTCCTCCAGCCTTGGGGGTGAAGACGATCCTCGCGGCCAGCTCCCCCACGCGCCCCGGCTCTCCTCGCGGGCCGTCGAGAGGTCGACGAAGCGCAGCTGCGACGCCGCGGCAGTGCGAGCACTTGCCTCAAGCGGAGGCGGTCTGCGCCGAGGCCTGCCGCGGGCGAGTGCCATCGGCAAGCCGCTCGCAGCTGCTCCCGACTCAGCGGCGGGAAGGCTCGGCCACGCGTGTCCTGGCGCTCGACGCCGGCTCCTTCCGTGAAGCCATTTTCCGGCAGTGGGTCCGACAGCTCGCCTCCATCTGGCCGACGGCGAGCATGCCCGCCAGCGGTCCCCAATCGCTGGGGGCGCTGACTCGCGGTGGCGGGGCGGCCTTCGCAAGCCCGCGGGCCGGGCGGCCCCCGCGCGCGCGCCGCCCCCGTCGCCCGACCCTGATCCAAGGCGCCAAACTCTTGGCGCCATCGTGCGCCGCGAGCTCGCGAGCCGCTGTCGCGGCGCACAGATGGCCCCAACATGCCCGTGGGCGCCCACGTGGAGGATGAGGCCATCCCAGTCGCTGGCGTCGATGCCAAGGGCGCCGCCCTCCACCTCGCCTTGCACTCAACAGTGGCGGCCAAAAAAGAGCTCGGCGCAGCGCGATGCGTCCTTCTCGCGCCAGTCCGGGCGGGGCGCCTGCCGCAATTCCGCCCGCTGCCCCGCGAGCCGCCGCTGCGCCGGGCCAAGGGCAACGCGAGTGCAATGGGCCAGGCTCGCGTGGCGGAGGCGGCATCCCCCCCCTGGCCAGGGCGCTCGCGGGCTCGAGGGCAAATCGCGGAGAGACGGCGCGGCCGACGCAACGCTGCGCCTTGCTGCGGTCGACCTCGCGGACCCCGGTCAAAGCGCCATCCGCTGCTTAGACGCAAAGACGGACTGCAGCGCCGCGGTCGCCAAGGAAGGCGCGAACGTTCCAGCGCCAGGCCGCCGCCGCAGGCATCTACTCGCCCTTGCTGGCCCTCGCGAAAGGCTGCGCAGTTGGCTCTTCAGTCGTCGGCGTCGACGTCGGGGAAGCGCCCCGGCCGCGCTGGCACCGGCGCCAGCGCGCGGGCCCCCGCGCCCTGTGGTCGCAACAAAACTGGCTTGCATGAGGAACAGCCCGTAGCCGTTCAGCGCCACGCATGTCGCTGCGCCGCGGGCCGGGCCGCGGGAACGGACGAACCAGTCGCGCTCGCACTCGCAGGTGGGCTCGCGCGGCCGGAGGCTGGATGCGCGCCGTTGCTCTCTGGGCCAGCCCAGCTCGCCGAGGGGCCCTTCCTCCACATTGAAGCCAGCCTGCAGGAGACGCGGCGCGCGCCCCGCCGCCATCGCCATGCCGCCGAAGGCCGTGAGCACGTCGAGGTTGGCCCCCTCGGGCCCGAAGGAGTCCTGGAAGAGCGCGGAGGCCGCCGGCATCTTGACTTGAACCCCAACACCTCCGCCGCGGTGGCACCCGCCGCGCGATGCTATGGTCCGCGGGCGGCGCCCAATCGATGGGCCTGGCCTGGTGGTCGTGAAACCTCGGATCGCCGTAATGCTTGGTCTCCTGGGTTGAAGCAACAGCTCCGGGGGTGGCGGGGCTCTTCTGGCGACGCAGGGTCGGGCGGGCGTCAGGCCGCCGCGCCTCGTCCACGCTGCCCGCCTGTCCCACCGCCGAAACTGAAGTGCACGACCCCCCCTGCGCTCCCGGCAGAGATGGGCCCCTTCGACCAGGCGGGCCAACCTGCAACGTCGGGGCGCACAAATGCTCGGTCTCCTCGCTTGGCGCAGAGATTCCTGGGGCGGTCGGCGTCTGGCGGCGCGGGGTTGGGCGGCCCTCGCGCGACCGCGCCTCCTCTGTGCCGCCCAACAGTCGCCCTGCCGCCCCCTCTGGAAGGCCCAGGGGGCGCTCGCCCTCTCCGCCCCTCCCACTGCACTCGCCTTGGGGCGCCCCCTTGGCCGAGCCCGCTGCAGTGGTCTGCGCCTGCCACTCGTCGAAGTGGCGTCGACGCCCCCGCTGCGCCGCTGCTGCCCACGCCTTCGCCGATGAGCATACACGCAGAACCCAGAGGAAGCACGCCGGGGCAGCATCGTGACGCGGCTGGCAGGCGCTGACGCCGACGCGCGGACGCGGCCCCGCAACGTCGCCAAGGCGCTCGGCCTGGCCGCGGCTGGAGGCCGGCTGGGCTGCTCGCGCTCCGCCTGCCTGGGCTGGGCCCCAGGCTGCGGTGCAGCGAGCTGGATCGCCGCCCTCGCCCCCGTCGCGGCCCGCGGGGCAACTCTCGGCCCAGGCCTCGCGCAGGCGGCCCCTGGGCGGCGCCTCGCCGGCGATCTGGGCGGGCTGCGAGCGCGCGACCCTCATCTGCTTGCGCGCCTCTGCCAAAGCCGTCTGGACGTGGTCCGCCGGCCACACCTTCTCGAGCCCGTCGAGATGCGTGAGGATGACAACGCACGTGGCTGCGCTCGGCGACCAGCGCGGCCTGTCGCACCGCTCATCCTCCTCAGCTGCCTCCTTCGCCCCGGTCACGAAGCTCTGAAAGTGGCGACGGGCCTCTTCAACCTCGCCACCGAGGGTGGCGACCTCCTACTGCAGCTGCTGTTGCCGCTTGCGGCCTCCTCGCGCGCGTGGCGCTTGGGCCCGAGGGCCCTGCGGGCCGCGTTGAGGCGCTTCTCGGGTTTGCCAGCCTCGTTGCCCCCCCTGCGCGTCCGCGCCGACCGAAGTAGGGTGCTCCCCATTAGCCCACTGCGCCGCCGCTCGCGCCTCTGCAAGCTCGCCCCAGTCGCGGACCAGCTGGCCCTCGACCTCGGCGACGAGGCTGTCGGTGACCCCTGGAGGCTGGTCAGCCGGCAGCCCTTCCAGCCGTCCCACCGCCTCCATGATGCACTCGGCCTCGCTGAGCTGCGCGGGCGCAGCGCTGTAGCACCGCGGCCGTTCCCAAACGGGGCGGTCGCAATGCCCCACCCGATGCGAGGCTGCTCGGGCTGCCCCGCGGGCGCGGCGCCAGGCGGTGCGGCCACGCGGCTGCACGACCCAGCCCGCGGCATCGGCGGCGGGTGCCGCGGGCGGCGCAGGTGAGGACTCGCTGGCACTCCGAACCCTCGGCGCGACCCACGCCGGCGTCTTCGCACGGCATCTCAAGCACAGGCCTCGCCACGGCCCCAAGGCCAGTTCCACGTGCGGCAGGCCCCCGCGCAGCACACCCAGCAGCTGCCAGGCACCATCGCCTCCCCCGTTGGCACGGTCGGTAACTCGCAGACTTCTCGCAATCGCTTCAAACGTAGATCTGGCTCTCAATGCGGAGTCCCTCGCGCTCGGAACACCGCGGTCGACTCGCGGTCGTCGGGGAATTCATGGCCTTGGGCCAGAAGGGCTACGGAATGGCGATCAGCCGAGAATGAGAATGATAATGACGGGGCCGTGAAGGCAGAGAATGGTGGTCAGTCGTGCTGGTCTGCCGTGCTTCTCTGACGTGCTGGTGAACTCCACCGAAGGCCCCAACGGCAGGGCCCGCATGGCGCACCCGCACACGCTTCGGCACACCACTCACACGCTTCGTGGCCCCAGAGGGAGCCCCACCGAAGGCCCCATCGGCCAGGTCCGCATGGCGCACCCGCGCTTGAGTCAGCACACCCCTCACACGTTCCGTGGCCCCGAAAGGAGCTCCACCGAAGGTCCCAGCGGCAAGGCACGCATGGCAGACCAACAACCGATCCGGCTCACCCCTCACACGTGCCGTGGCCCCATAAGGAATTCCATCGAAGGCCCGAGTGGCAATGTCCACATGGCGACCCGCGCGATTCAGCTCACCCCTCACTCCTCCCCCATGCTTCTCAGTTGCCTCTCGGCACATGCAGCTTCATATGATTGGGCCATTCGCCAAGATAGTTGTTGAAGGATGTCCCGAAAGAAACGCTCAATGTTGTAAAGGACGATGCTGCGAACAGTTCAATGTTGTGAAGGTACCAAACCCGCCGTGCATCCCCGTGCGCCACTCCATATAGTAAAATCTTGTAACGCGACGCGATCTAACAAACTTCCAGCCGTAATGTCAACATGTCCAACTCTCGCTTCGAGATCCTCGAAGACGACTCCCGTCATCCACCAAATAAATATCAAATGCACCCGGGCATAATGTAACGTTTTCTTTGTATGTGATATTAAAACGACATGTCCGGCTCCTTCGAGGACCTCGCATTCGCTTCCCGTAATTCCCAAGTTCACCCGAGACCCCATAACTTATCACCAATACCAACCGATCCAAGCGAGGGGCGCTTCCCGCCATCCAAAATGAGTCTGGCGGTGGCTCGCGGACCCTCCCACTGAGGCCTTCGGTGGAACCCCCCACGGGGCCAAGAAACGTTTGAGGCGCATGTTAGAATCCACCGACCATGACGGCCTGTCGTCCCCTGGGGGGGTTCAGATACGCATCCCCCCCTGGGGGTCCCAGGGCCTCAGAAAGTACCAAGACAGGCCAAGAGTGCCCCAAGAGGCCCCCGAGACTATTCAAGAGGGCCCCAATCGCCAAACGATCGGTCCAAAACGCCTTCACGCCCTCCAGACTGCCCAAAAGGCCTCCAAAACGCTCCAAGAGCACTCCCGAGAGGACCCCCGAAGGTAAAATCCATTGATTTACCGTAGCTGTTTGACTGGCCGCTTTCTGCCTCTCCAAGACGGCCCGACAGGCCCCCAAGATCGCCCGATGACGGCCCAAGAGGCCTCCAAGAGGGCCCCAAAAGACTCCAAGAGGAACCTACGACTGCCCAAAACGCTTCCAAGGGCCTCCAAGAGGGCCCCACAAGAGTCCATGAGGAGCCCGAGACAGCCCAAAAAGCCTCCAAGACGGCCCGAAAGGCCCCCAAGACGGCTCCAAGAGCGTGCCCAGACGGGGAACCCGAACGGACATGTCGAGCCCTCGGCCCCGAGAGGCTCCCTTGAGGCCCAAGATGTTCCAAAGAGGCCCCAAGAGACCCACAAGACGTCCGCAGAAACCTGAAGGGGCCCCCAAGAGGCTCCCAAAAGGCCCTCAAGATGCTCCCAAGAGGCTGCAGCATTCCTCCCTGGAGGCCCCCGAGAGCCTTCCTAAGAGACCCCAAAAGGTATACCAGAGGACTCTGGCCCACGTTTGCGTCATCATCGTCGTCGTTTTCGTCGTCGTCGTCGTCGTCGCCGTTCCCTTCAAGGTTGGCGGCACTGGCCGTGAGGTCTTCGCAATACGACAGATGGTGGTGATGGCAATGATGGTGATTACAACGAGGATAATGACTACGACGACGATGATGACGATTATGATGTGATGGTCAGGGTGATTATGCTGCTGCTGATGCTGATGCTGATGCTGATGAGCAGTCTGATGATGATGCTGACGCTCATGAAGATGATGCTGAATATGCTGATGTTGTTGATGATGATGCTGATGATGTTGGTGCTGATGCTGATGATGCTGATGATGAAGATGACGATGACGATGACGATGGTGATGATGATAATGATGAGGACGAGGGCGATGATGGTGATGGTGTGGTGGTGATGATCGTGATGATGGTGGCGGTGAGGCGAATGGCGATGACAAGGGTTCTGGTGATACTGATGATGATGATGGTGATGATGCTGATGGTGGTGGTGCTGCTGATGCCGATGATGACGATGACGATGATCATGATGCTGCTAATGATGGTATTGGTGTTGATGATAAGGATGACGATGAGGATGCTGATGGTGATGAGGATGCTGATGCTGATGCTGATGATGCTGATGGTGAAGATGATGATGATGATGGTTATGCTATCGACGATCGCGATGGCGATGACAATGAGGACATGCGGATGGCAGTGGCAGCGAGGGGCGGAAGGAGGAGTGAGGACGCTGAATGCTGCTCTCTCAAAGCGGCGAGACCCGAAACCACAGGATGCTTGGGAACACATCCGAAAACGAAGACGTCGACGACGCCGTCGTCGCCTGGCGGTGCGAGTGTCCCTCTGGCGGCGGATCAGAAGACCCCTGTCGGCGATCAATTGGCGATGGGGTGTCGATGCGTTCCCCCCTAAGCCTATCCCCCTTTATCGTTGCTCCTGAGATTTCCGCACGCACGTGCGACCAGATCGGCCTGCGGCCGAAGCGGGCCCGACGAGGCCGAGGCGGCTGGAGGCCGACTGGACCTCCCCGCCACGTCCCCGCCAACCCGCCCCCGCCTCGCCGCGCACGCGCAGCTGGTTGCCAGTGTTGCATCCGGGCGGGAACTTCACCGTGACCTCGACGCGGGGGGGGGGGGCGCAGACGGCGGGGCCTCCTGCCGCCAACTCGGAGAGGGAGGAGGCCAAAGAGGATTACCAAACCTACCGCGCCTCAGGGGACGCTCATGGTGGTCGGGGGTCCCGCAAGAGGGCTTGGCATCGTTGACAACGACAAACACCAAGTGGTGGTAAGGCGTCGTGATCACGACCTACCAATATGGAGCGCACATCAGGCACTTCCAGTCTCAGACTTGGGTGTGTGGCACCCGCCTGAGAGCGAATTTGCCACTCGGGACCTTGGGGAGGCGCTGGAGGGGTCAGAGGAGTTAGCTTGTAGGGGGCCACAGATCTAGCATACTCACGCAGAGGGGAAGAACAGTGCGGGGAGGAGGAGGAGGAGGAGAAGGACGAGTGGCGGGAGGAAGAGTGTGTGGGGGCAGCAAAGAGGATGCGGATCAGGAGGATGGAGTGGATGGGCAGGAAACTAATGCACTCATGAGGAACAGACCGAGGAGGAGGAAATAGAGAGGACGAGGTCTGGGAAGGAGGACCGGCTAAGTGGCAGAGAAGAGGGAGGAAAGGCGGATGCCTCCCTCCCCCTCCTCCTCCTCCTCCGCGTCCTCCCTCCTCGTCCTTATCCGCCTTCTTCTTCCATCTTCGTCCTGCCCCCACTCCCATCCTTCCCCCTTCCTATCCCCCCTCCCTCCGCCCTCCTCCTCCTCCTCCTTCTCCTCCTCCTCCGCATCTTCATGAAGCCCCTCCTCCCCCTATCGTCGTCCTCCTGCTCCTCCTCTTCCTTTTCCTCCTCCTTCTCCCTCCTCACCTTGGGCCAGAGCCAGGACGGGGGGGCAGGCGCCCCACACCGCCTCCCCGCGCCGATCCCAATACCTTTTTCGCAGTGCTTGAGGGATCTCGACGCCCGTCTGCCCCGTACTTCATTTGGTTCTCGTCAGCAAGAGTCGGAAGCTGGGCGAGGGCTGGCAAATCCGTGGCTGCTAAAACGGCTGTCCTGGAAGATCAGTACAACTCAGCGGGCTGCATCATTAACGGGCTGCTTCCCAGGAGAAGAAAACAATTTCCCGGAGCTCCGTTTTAGCATCCACGGGTTTGCCATCCTTCGCCTGGCGTCTGAAAGGGCAGGGATTCAAGCCACGTCAGGTCGACCGTGGACCCGCTGCAAAGCCTGCGGCACGTGCGAGTACAGTTATGTCGGGCGTGCCCCCCTACAGGGGGATTTGCCGCGAAAAATTTTTTAACAATCAGCAAAAAGGTCAAACAAATACACGAAAAAAAATCCCCCGACTATTTTCTAGCATTCCCTACCTAGGCCTGCCTAGAAGGGTTCTTACTCGGCAACTTAAAAGGGCCGGGCAGTGGGGCCCGCCCCGGGCGGTTCCCCCAGTATCCGCCCCGCGGTTCCCCCAGTAACGTCCCTTGCGTTGTATTGTTATTCCCTACCTAGGCTCTGCCTAGAGGGTTCTTACTTGGTTTGCTTAAAGGGGCGGGCAGTGGAAAACGCCCCGGGCGGTTCCCCCAGTCCCCGCCACGCGGTTCCCCCAGGTACGCCCCCTTAGCTTAGCGTTGCTTATCTCATCTTAGCTTAGCTTAGCTTAGCTTAGCTTCATCTTAGCTTCGCTTAGCTGTAGCTTAGCTTAGCTTAACTTAGCTTATTTCATACTAGCGCAGCTTAGTTTAACTTTAGCTTAGATGTAGCTGAGTTTTAGCTTAATTGTAGCTTAGATTTAGCTTAGCTTTCGCTCCGTGTTAGCTTAGCTGTAGCTTCGATTTAACTTAGATGTAGCTTAGCTGTAGCTTAACTTTAGCTTAGATGCAGCTTAGCTTTAGCTTTAGCTTAGCTTTAGCTTAGCTTTAGCTTAGCTTTAGCTTAGCTGCAGCTTAGTTTTAGCTGAGCTTTAGCGTAGCTTTAGCTTAGCGTCAGCTTAGCTGTACCTTAGCTTTAGCTGAGCTCTAGCTCAGTGTTAACTTAGCTTTAGCTTAGAGTTACCTTAGCTTTAGCTTAGCTGTAGCTTAGCTTTAGTTTAGCTTCAGCTTAGCTTTCGCTTAGCTTCAGCTTACCTGCAACTTACCTTCAACTTAGCTTTAACTTAGCTTTAGCTTAGCTGTAGCTTAGCATTAGCTTAGCTTTAGCTTAGTTTTAGCTTAGCTTTACTGTTACTAATAATGCTGCTTTCCTAGGAGCTCCAACTCTTAGGTAGGGTCGCGCTGGGACGATTTCTTAATCAGTTTTTGGATCTTTGTTCGTCGAACATCCCCCCCTGTAGGGGACAGGCCCGACTTACTAGTACAATCACAAGCTGGACAGCAAGAGCCCATCCTGCCCAAACAGCAGCCGTCGGATCAGGCTCCACCGCTGTGAAATAAATAATGTCACTGCTGATCTGTAAGCAGTGTAGCATAGCATGCCAGCAAGCATATGCTCTTTCGTAACTATTTGGGCTCAATCCTTTAAGGGCCCTTGAGCTTGGGCGTATCGGTAGACACCTCGCAGGTGCCGCTAAGCAACATCAATCGCCTATCATTGTTGATATCTTCGCAGATACTTTTACGTCATTGCTGACAAAAACAACCTCGCGGTTATCATCGCATTCAGACCCCTCACGCAGTATTGGGTCTGCATTGGTAGCGGAGCTAACTCGACCACGGCAGCTACGTGCGCGACTTCGCAGAGTCATTTAGCAAGCACTACAGGCTCGTGCCATTGCGACTGTACCTCTAACTCGGGGTCGCCATCATGGCGACAGGAGGAGCCGCTGCAGCCAGCGGCGAAGACAAGAGCAACGGGGGCAAGATCCCCGTACCCGTCTTCGATGGCACGAGCAAGACCATGAAGAAGCACCGCCGAGAGGTCGCCACCTGGCAGATCGGCACCGAGGTCAAGCCGCCCAAGCAGGGAGCGACCTTGCTGGCCAGCCTCAAGGGCAAGGCCGAGGAGGCGTGCGAGGAGCTCGACCTGGACGCCATCAAGGGTGACGACTCGGTGGAGGTGTTCCTGGAGTACCTCGGGAAGCGCTTTCCCGAGATCGAAATGCTGGAGACCCCAGCGCTGCTGGAGACCTTCGTGCGCCCGGCCTGCGTCCGGCACAAGTACGACGAGATCCGCGACTACAACAACCGCTTCAATGGGATCACCACCAAGCTGATGGCCAAGGGCATCCAACAAGTGCCCGACGAGGTCTTGGCGGACCTGTACATCAAGGGGGCCCGCCTGCCCCTGGAGCGCGCGGCGAGCGTGCTCAACGGTGTGGGCAACCAGTTCAACCCCGCCAAGATCCAAGAGCAGTTGATGATCAACTTGCCCAAGGTATCGGTCGTGGACGGCAATAAGGACAGCCACGACAAAGGAGGCTACGGAGGTCACAAGAACAAGGACCACAAGCGAGCGTACGCCACGGAGACCTACGAGGAGGATCGTAGGGCCGAGCTCGACGGCGCGTCCTCAGACAGCTCCGACGACTACGAGGACGAGCTGCCCGACGAGCTGCAGGACGTGATCGACGAGGCGGAGGAGCAGGTAGCGTTCTTCACCAAGAAGATGGTGCGCGCCAAGGACAAGCTGAAGGAGGCGAAGCAGGCGCGTGGCTACTTCGCCAAGCGCGACGGCGGCAACCCATCGAAGAGAGACGATCCCAAGATCGCCAAGATGAAAGCCAGGGCACACTGCGGCGCATGCGGCCAGAAGGGCCATGGGCGCGGTGACCCGCAGTGCTCGAAGGAGAAGAACGACCCTAACGCCAAGGCCGACATCCCGAAGAAGCAGAGAGCGTGATCCACCGCCGCTTTACTGTGGAAAATTGCCAACCTTTTCCTCCGGAGCCCAAGGTCCCCCCCCCCCCCCCCCCCCTCCGAAATCCCCCCCCCCCCCTGCTGGACCCCCCCCCCCCCCCCCCCCCTCCCCCGGCAAAACCCCCCCCTCCCCTACCCTTACCCTTCCCCCCCCCCCCCCCCCTCCCGCTCGAAAACCGGGGGGGGGTCACTACCGGTTCGAACCCCTCCCCCCCTCCCCCCCCCCCCCTCCGGATCCGGAAAACCGGGGGGGGTCACTACCGTTCGAACCCCTTCCCCCCCCCCCCCCCCCCCCCCCCTCCCCCCCCTACTCACCGCCAGCAAACGACTCCCGGTCCCCACCACCGTCCGCATCACATCCCCCACTGGTGTTCCCAGCACCACTGTCCTCACCACCGCTGTCCCCACTGGTTCCACCACCGCCCCTACTGTCCCCACCAGTGCCCCACCACTGTCGCACTGTCCCCGCTGTCCCCAGAACTGTTCCCACCACGGTTCCACTCTCCCCACTGTCTCCACGGCCCCAACCACTGCCCCAGCAAACGACTCCCGGTCCCCACCACCGTCCGCATCACATCCCCCACTGGTGTTCCCAGCACCACTGTCCTCACCACCGCTGTCCCCACTGGTTCCACCACCGCCCCTACTGTCCCCACCAGTGGCCCCACCACTGTCGCACTGTCCCCGCTGTCCCCAGAACTGTTCCCACCACGGTTCCACTCTCCCCACTGTCTCCACGGCCCCAACCACTGCCCGACTATCCCCACTGTCCCCACTGTCCCACTGACTCCTCCGCTGTCCCACTGAGCTGTCCCACCACTGTTCCCACCACTGTCCCCACTGTACCTCTGTCCCATTGTCCCACCGCCGTCCTCGCCACCGCCTTCACCACTGTCCCCACCACCATTGTACCCTCCACTGTCCCACTGTTTCCACCTCATTCCCATTGTCCCCACACCACTGTCCCCACCACCACCGTCACCACCACTGTCCACTGTCCCCCCCTGTTCCCACCATTGTCCCCACCACTGTCCCCACCACTACCGTCCCCACCACTGTCCCACTGTCCCACTGTCCCCACCACTGTCCCGCTATCCCCTCACCACTGTCCCCACCAACACCGTCCCCACCACTGTCCGCACCCCCACTCGGTTTTCGAGGGGGGGGGGTTCGAACCGGTAGTGACCCCCCCCGGTTTTCCGGATCCGGAGGGGGGGGGGGGGGGGGGGGGGAGGGGTTCGAAACCGGTAGTGACCCCCCCCCCCCCCCTTTTCATGATGAGCAGGGGGGGGGGGGGGGGGGGGAGGGGTTCGAACCGGTAGTGACCCCCCCCCCGGTTTTCCGGAGGGGGGGGGGGGGGGGGGGTTCGAACCGGTAGTGACCCCCCCCGGTTTTCCGCCAGCAGCGGTAGAACACGCTCTTTCCGAAGAAGGGAAGCAACAGGACGAACATCGCCACGCACGAGACCAGCGACGCGCAGGAGCCTCACGTGGCGGAGATGACGGTCGCGGCGGTCTACCAGCAGGACCAGCGGGCCGCGGCTCGCGACAGAAGTACGGTGCGCTGCTCGGCATCGACTGGACGCAGATCCGCCAGGCCGCCGAGCTACCCGAAGAAGTTACGGCGGCGGCGTTCTTCATCAATAAGGACCACCAGTGCCTGATGGCCGCGACGAGCTCGGCGCTGATCTACCTCAGCGTCGAGGACCTGCTGAAGGAGTCGGGGGGCAATCCGACCTTCGACACGGCCTGCACTCGGTGCGTCGGCGGCCTCGACTGGTACAACGACATCAAGAAGAGGCTGGCCGCCTTCAACATCCAGCCCATCGAGTACCCCGAGAAGGAGCCGTTCCGGTTCGGGGCGTCGAAGGTGGTGTACAGCCTCAAGGCGGTGCTGATCCCCTGGTCGGTGAACGGCAAGGCCTTCACCGTCCGCATGAGCATCGTGCGCAGCGCCGTGCCAGGACTGTTCAGCCGCAAGGCCCAGAGCGAGCTGGACATAGTCTACCACGCCGGAGACAACAAGCTGGACATCAAGTCGATCGACGAGCACAACATCCAGATGGGCCTGAGCCGCGCTGGACACCCGACGCTGGACATCACAGGCTTAACGCCGGACTATAAGCCCGTTTTGGACGTCTCGGATACCAAGGCCGAGATTCGTCTTCATCCTTGCGCTTCTTACCATGCTGAGACAGCTGTGGCCAGCGCCGCCAAGCCGGTGGTGCCCGAGGCTCGCCGCCCAGGAAATGCCTCGGAGGCCGACGAGTCTCCGTCGGATACTGACTGCAATGCGCTCGATAGCGCCGAACTGTTCGAGCAGCAGGTGCGCCAGGCCATGAGCGCATACATTCCATCACGTCAATCGTCATCGGGATCGGAAGACGAGGCCTGGGGAGTGTGTACTAGGTCAGTCAGCACAGCACAGATTATGCAGACAAACCACGATCATGACGAATGGGGAGCTAAACCTCGCAGCCATACTCAGTCGCGGCATGAACGATTTCAACAGCAAGCAAGCCGTAGCGAGCCACGAGATCAGCCATCAGCACGCAGTCATCAAACTACATCATCACCGCAGCCATCCGGCTCGAGTTCAACTGTGGCTCCACCAGCGAGTACGACGCGTGCCGTGGCAGATCCAGCCACCGCAGTTTTTCACGAACCAGCGGCCCGCGCTTATGCCCAGGTCGCACCAGCGATGTACGACATCTCCCAAGGAGACGAGCCCGGGGGGCAGCGGCCAGAACTTGCCGACGACGAGTACTGCCCGTCTTCCGGCGATATCCAGCATGCGGATGCCGGAGCTGCAGGCCGAGGTGGCGAGCTACGACTTGGATGTGCGCGACTCCACGTGCGACCAGCTCCGGGTGATCTTGCGCGCGCGGAGGGCCGAGGGCCGCGAGAGCACGCCGCAGGACGACTACATCCCGGGGCTCGGCAAGAAGAACAAGGAGGAGCTCCAGCAGCTGTGTCGGGACCGCCACATCGAGTTCGACCAGCGCACGCCCGTGCCGGAGCTCAGGCAGCGCCTCAAGGGCTGGAAGGTCGAGGACGCGGTCAGCAGTGCCGCGGCGACGGTGGCTCATCCGAGCTCACAGATTACCGGGGCCGACAAGATGCGCTTTGGCAAGTGCCCCACGGCGGACTACCGCGGGTGCTCAAGAACGACCTGGGCTACGCGCAGTGGGCGGTCCTGGAGCTCAACAACAATCGGGCAAGCCCACTCCTGGCGCGGTTTGCCAGGTGGGTAAAGGCGCACGGAGTGCAGCCCCTTCCCCCGGAGAAGGCCAAGACCACCTTGGAGGCAGTGATGGCCGAGGAGGTGGTGCTGGACGACGAATGGGTGTCGCCAGCGGCTACGACAACGAGGGCCTGAAGAAGCAAGGGGAGCTGGGCCGGGCATCGGCGCCAGCGACCTCCGGAGCCGCACGAGATGGACACCAGCGACATGGGTTTCGAGAAGGCGGGCGAGACCGACAAGGAGGATCGCCCGAGCGGCTCCCGGGAACCTCAGCAGAGCAGGGACGAGGCGGCGGTGGCCGCCAGGACGGGTCGCCAGCCCCGAGGCGGCGGCGAGGCATCAAGAAGGGCAAGCGCGTCGGCCTCCTCTACCAGGTCACGGGCTTGCTGAGCGCCTTCGCCTTTCAGACGGTGCTCACCGCGGACTGGCTGGCTAGACCTCTCAAGCCCGTGGTGCAGCATGCTACCAGTGCTGCGCGAGACGTGGTCGACCACGTCCAGGACGTCAAGGAGGCCTACAGCGTTCGCAGCCACCGCGTGGACGTCATGCAGGTGTTCGGAGGCGAAGGCGGCATCACCGAGGCGGCGTGGAAGCGCCGGAGGACGGCCGCAGAGGTGATCGACCGCAAATACGGATGGGACTTACGCGAGCAGAAGGACCTCGACGCGACGTACGACCTGTACTACGCCTCAAGGCCGAAGTTCGTGTCAATCGAGCTACCCTGCACCCACTGCACGAACATCGCGCACCTCAACTTTCGGACGCCGCAGGCCAGGCAGGCGCTCCGACGGATCTGGAGGACGGAGCGGCCGTTCCTTTTATTGGCCCGCGACCTCTTCAAGTACCAGCTCGACTCTGGCGACATGGCCATGATCGAGAACCCGGCCACCAGCCGGCTCTGGACACAGCGCGCGATTTTGGAGATACTGGCAGATGAGCGCGTGCACCAGGTGAGGTGCGACATGTGCGAGTACGGAGCTCGACGCTACAAGACGGGGGGGCTCATCAAGCACCCCGCGAAGCTGCTCGTTACCCACAAGGAGTTCGAGCAGCTGAAGCGCACCTGCAGCCACAAGCACCACGACCAGACCTTTGGGGACAACGTGGCGGTGCGCAAGTCTGGCGTTTATCTCGCTAAGTTCTGCAGAGCGGTGGTGCGCATTGTGGAGCAGGTGATTCGCCAGCAAAGAGGGCATCGCGCCTACCAGGTGGACTGCCAGTCGCACCCGTCGCCCTTCATCGTGACAGTGCCCAGGGAGCAGGCCACCGCCTACGTAAACGACACCGCGCCCCTGGGAGAGACGGGCGAGCTTGATGGGGACCCAGACCCCATGGGCGGCGGAGACGACTTCGCCGACACTCACGACGTGCGGGCCGAAGATACTGTGGACGGCAGGATCGGGGTCGGCGCGATTACTTTCACAAAGAAATCAGCGGCCTGCTGCAAGCCAGCCGAGCTGGCCATGCTCAAGAGACTCCACGTCAACTTGGGCCATCCGTCTAATGAAAATTTGGGCCGCAGATTGCGCCTCAAAGGCGCTAAGTCGGCCACCGTCCAGGCCGTCAAGGGGCTGATCTGCGGTGTGTGCCGCTCGCAGCAGCGCCCGAGCGCGAGGAGGCCAGCGCGCCTCCACTTCGTGCAAGATTTTGGAGACGACGTCGGCTTCGACTGCTTCGAGCTCAAGGACGTCGACGGCAAGAGCTACTGGTACTTCAGCATCGTCGACCTGGCCACCACCTTCCATGTCGCGACGCTGATCGATCGCCACACCAGCCAGGAGTTCGCTGCCGCGTTCGAGAGGTGCTGGGCCTCCTGGGCGGGCGTACCCGACCGAGTTCACTTCGACATGGAGAAGGGGTTCGGCGGCGCCCTCAGCGAGCTGTTCCAGTCATTCAACACGGTGCAGCTGCCCATCGCTGGTCAGGCACATTGGCAGCTCGGTCGCGTGGAACGCCAGGGAGCTTGGTGGAAGGAGCTCGCGGCGAGGACGATCGAGCACTCGTCGATCAGGGTCGAGGACGAGATGCGGACGCTGGCCATCATGGTATCGGGCGCGAAGAACTCGCTGAGAAGGCGAGCAGGCTTCAGCCCCGCGCAGTGGGTGCTGGGACGCGACCCCAAGATGCATGGAGACCTAGTCGACGACACCGCCAACTACAGCGCCCACAGCCTCGCGGCCAACGACGAGAATATTCGCCGCCGATATGCCATTCGGACGGCGGCGCGCGGGTCGTTCATGAGGATGCAGAACGACGACCAGCTCCGGCGAGCTATGCTGGCTCGCGCGCGCACGGTGGCGACGCCCTTGTCAGTGGGCGAGATGTGCTACGTCTTTCGCCAGGTCAAGAAGCAGGAGCAGCGGGAGCAGCACAACCGCAACGCCAAGAAGGGCATCTGGCGAAGGCCGTGCGTAGTCATCGGCCACCAAGGCGAGAACACCTGGGTCTCGCTAGGAGGGCGCGCCATGCTGGTGGCCCCGGAGCACATCAAGGCACTCGCTCCGGACGACGTCTGGTTCCCGAACGGCAGGGGCGAGATCGGTCAGGCCGTGGCCGAGCTCAACCGGGCTCGCGACTCGCTCGAACAAGAAGAGGCTCAGGTGGAGGACATCCGCTCGGCGCCTGGCGAGCCCGAGGTCAAGCCAGACGAGATGGAGCAGGCGTGGCGGGAATTCATCGACAACCCGGACGACAGCGACCTCAAGCTGAACGTCTCCGAGGATCCGCCCCAGCAGGACCAGATCCAGGTGCTGCCCGCCGACGTGCCGCAACAAGCTGAAGAAGAGCGAACCTACGGCCCTGACGAGTTCCGACGACGTCCAGCTACCTTCGACGGAGGGGGCAGCGGCGACTTCGGCCCGGCCTTCAAGCGACTCCAGACTGAGAGGGAGCACGCAGGCTCTGGCGCCCTGCCCGCAAGGGCAACTTCGCGGGACCGCGCGGCGGCCCCCGATCAGGAGGCAGCGGCCGGACCCGAAGCAGGAGGAGCCCGCCAACGTTCGAGGTCGGCTCCAAGACAAGTATTGCAAACCTCCATCGTGACCGAGAGGATCAAGCGCAAGCAGACCGACAAGGAGATCCACTGGAGGGCCATCAAGGACTCTGATCGGGAGCTCTTCAGGGAGGCGGCCGCCAAGCAGTGGAGCGAAGGGCAAAAGTATGGCTCTTGTCAGGTACTCTCCATCGAGGAGTCCGAGGCGATCAGGGGCATGATCAAGCCCAGCCTCATCCTGCCCAGCCGGTTCGTGTACCGGGACAAGAACGCCCCGCTGCGGACCGACAAGCGTCCGCTGCCGGTCAAAGCAAAGGCCCGACTCTGCGTCGGGGGTCAAATGGGCCCGCGCCTCGCTCAGGGCGACCGGCGGACGGACGCGCCCACGGTCACCCGCAACTCGACCATGCTGTTCTTCACCATCTGCCAGAGGTTCGACCTGGAGATCTACGCGGCGGAAGTGGAGGCGTCGACGAGCAGCCCGACCAGCAGCTGCGCATGGCCCAGCCTCGCGAAGGTTTGCCTGGGCCGAGCCCGAAGCAGCTGATCAAAATCCTCAAGGGAGTTTTCGGGCTGGCCACGGCACCGAGACAATGGTGGGCGAAGCTCAAGAGGACATTGCTGGCGGTGGAGGAGAAGCTGAGCGACAACTACGTGTTTCGCCTACACCAGCACTCGCTAGACCCAGCGCTGTACTACGGCTACGACCAGCACGGTGAGCTCTGTGCGGTGGTGGTCGCCCACGTGGACGACTTGCTGCTGGGGATCTCGCGCAAGTACCCGGGCCTCTACGACAGGCTTCACAAGCTTTTGCCCTGGGGCGACTGGCGAGGCTTGCCTTTTACCTTTTGCGGCAAGCAGGCCTGGCGAGATCAAGAGGAAGTGCTACATCTACGACAGACCGAGTACGCGAACACCATCGAGGAGACTCCGCTCAGCAAGGAGCGCAAGACGGACCTGTCGTCAGATGCTACGCCAGCCAAGTTCTCGGACAACCGCTCCGCACTCGGAGCGCTCGGGTGGCTTTCATCGCAGACTCGTCCCGACCTGGCAGCTGGAGTGGCCATGGGGCAGCGGACCCAGAACAAGCCCACCATCCAGGACTTGCTCGAGACGAACAGGCTCATCAAGTTGGCGCGGAAGCACGCGGACGTGGGTTTGGAGTTCCCTAAGTTACGTGGACCTCTGTGCCTGGTGACGTACCACGACGCCAGTTGGGCCAACGCTGACGAGCCAGCTGAAGGCGCCATCTCCAAGTTGCTCGCCAAGACCGTGGGGGCAACCAGTAAGGACAAGAAGATCAAGATTCGCTCGCAGGCTGGCTACGTGAGTTTTCTCGCAGAAGCCAAGCTACTACGCGGAGATCTAGCTCGAGCAGGAATTTCTTATTGGAGATCGGGCACCATCAAGAGAGTTTGCAGATCTACGTTGGCAGCTGAAGCGATGTCGGCAGTAGACGCTCTAGGCTGCGCTCAGATTACACGCTGTGCTTTCGCTTCGCAAGAGATTCCGGATGCCCATCCATGGGACATCCCGCCGAGTCTGTTGACGCTCGCTCAGGTCACAGATTGCGCCAGCTTGTACGATACGATGCATAAAGACGGTTATTCCAAGCTCCCGTCAGAGCGGCGCCTTTTGCTCGACCTAGTGGGCCTCAAGGAGTCACTAGAAGAGGAAGTTAGCAACGAGTTTGTCGCTGACGATCAGCGCAGCCAACTACCCCTCTTTTGGGTTCCGACTGATCAGCATAAGATGAAGCCGGGATCGGGGCAAAATTTGACCGCAAATGCGGCCTCCATGGCGCCGCAGGCGTAATATGTGTGACGCATTCTCGGGCCCCCCATCAGCGCATTGGCCAGCGCCCAGGTCCCTGAAACGCAAACCTACTGTGTCCCCCGTGCAAGCCGCGCACCCGCTCACAATGCTCGTGCACACCAGATTTTCTGCCCGCCCTCAACAGTTTAATTGAGCGCCCATGTGTTACTTGGGCTTCTCAAGCCCTCGAACACTCTTTGGGAACTTCTGCGAATGCGCGCGCTACGCTCCACAAATCGGCGTTCTATTTTTCTCTGGAACTCTCCCAGAATCTCTGGTTCCGATTTGTCCCGATCTTCCGCTCAACTGACAGCAGCTCGGTGATCAGTTCACCAAGCGATGGGACGGCAGTGCCATCAGGGCAGTGCTGCGAGACACACGTCTCGCTTTGCAGCATCAAGAGCCTACGGACCAGGCCAGAGGGCACGAGGCACACCTGACCAGTGCCGGCTCACTTTTCAAGCGCGCAGTGCGCCTGGTTTCATTTTAGCTCGTTGACGTGCCATCACCACGTCTAAATGCGCTATATCGGCAGATGCACAGATCAGAAGAATCCTGCACGAGTGTGAAATAAATAGTGTCAGTGCTGATATGTAAGCAGTGTAGCATGGCATGCCAGCAAGCATATGCTCTTTCGTAACTATTTGGGCTCAATCCTTTAAGGGCCCTTGAGCTTGGGCGTATCGGTAGACACCTCGAAGGTGCCGCTAAGCAACATCAATCGCCTATCATTGCTGATATATTCGCAGATACTTTTACGTCATTGCTCACAATAACAACCTCGCGGTTATCATCGCATTCAGACCCCTCACGCAGTATTGGGTCTGCAACCGCCCCAGCTGTCGGCCACCGCCAGTCACGTCCGGAGGCGCAGAGACCGCCGAGTTGGAGTACCCCGGAGCGGCCGCGAACTCCAGGCACAGAGGCTCTCCTCCAAAGAAGGCCACATTGACGGACAATCTCCAGCTTGCACTGGCCGAGGCGAACGACCCCCAGCTCCAGGGCGTCCCCCAGGCGCAGATCACCAGGATCGCCGCCCACAACAGGGGGACACAGAGAGCAAGGGGGGGATCTCCACCGCGGAGGCCGTGAGGCAGGCCGACGGGATCTGGCGTGCTGCCGCGAACAGGCGCAGCCACCCTGCCGCCAACGTGGCGAAGCTCAGGGAGAGCCTCGGCGCCGCGGAGGCGAAAGAGTCCGAGGCGGCACTGGCCGTGGCCAAGGCCGAAGCCGGCGAAGAGAAGGCGGCGACGGCTCCAGCTCAGGCGGAGGGCGCCGGCCCCGCCACAGCTGCCGCCGACAAGGGCGGCAACGAGGCGCAGCGCACGCCAGCCTTGTCAATCCATTGGCACCCTCAGCCTTTCACACTCTGCGCGATCTCGAGTTCGAGGAGCACGAGCGGGCGGAGCTCAACCAGGTCTAGCACGCCTCGGGGAGCTGAATAATGCCCTCCACACGAAGGAGCCGCGGGTCAAGGCGCTGATCTCCCGCGCCCGGACCGCCGGGAGACTGCAGGAGGAGCGGCTCGCCGGAGAGAGGAAGGGCGCCGACGGCACCGCGGCCACGGCGCAGCAGCAGCAGCAGCAGCAGCAGCCGTCACCAGCCAGCGGCAGCAACGCGGGCGCGGCGGCAGCCGACCCGCCCGACGCTGCCGAGGCAGCGGCGCGCGAAGCGGCAGCGGCGGAGGCAGAGGAGGAGAGCATCGAGGCCGAGGCGGCACGCCTCTCGGCCGCCAAGTTCGCAGCCCAGCAGGCGGCGGCGGCGGACAAGGGCGGCGCAAGAGCGGCAAGGGCGCAGCATCGCTGAGAGGAGGAGCTCCCGCAGGCGAGGCGCCAGCTGCGGCGGCCAGTTGACTGGGCCGCGCTCGGCAGTCTGCGCTGCCCGGCACCGAAGACGAGGCCAGCGAGGCCAGTGCCAGTGCCAGCGCCTTCCTCTACAGCAAAGTCATATGCATGGGAGATAGCGTCTAGGATTACAGTCAACCCGAATAGTAAGGATGTGCCGCCGTCCCAAGGGCGCGCCACGCTCGAAAAGCTTCGACGTGGTCTTCCAATGCCCTTGCATCCTTATTGCGCGTCCTTGCTATACTGGTTGACTGTATCTTTTTACGCGTTCAGATGACTTCTTTTGCCTCGCAAAGACACGCGTCGGACAACAATGGATGCGGGCAAATGGTCCGGCACGGCTCGAGGCCAACATCGCCGGCTGTTTCACAGTGCAGCTCGCGCGTCGAAGTTGTCAAGTCTCGAGAGGGGGGGGCTCGAGTCGCGCGACTCTGAGGCCGCAGAACGCGCCAACGAAGGGGGAAAGGGGTACTCGCCAGGGGCCACCTCCAGGCCCACATGTGTCGCGAGGGAGCGCAGGCGCCAGCGTTGAAGGCCCGACCGAGCTCCAGCTTAGACGGGCTTGTGCCGTGCGTCCTGCACTTCCGAGGACACTCAATAAAGTTTAATCTTGTATTGGGTATCGTTTATCTGGTCTCCATCCCCAGCGGCGTGGCCTGGGCCCACTGGCCGATTTACCCACCTAGATGGGGGCGCAGGCCGTCCCCTTCGGGTTTCGAAGGGTGCATCCCAAACTGGGGTGGTAATTTGGTGGGGGTCTCGAAGGGGGTGAGGATGGGGCTGGGGGTCGGAGAAACGATGCTGGTGTATGGGCTCGGTAGCGTAGGCCTCTCAGGACCCAGCCTAGTTAGATATCGGCGCCTCGGGGGCCTCCTCAGTGCCGCCCAGCTTCCCTGGGTGGTCATAAGGGGGCCCCCCCCCCCCCCCCCAAACCCTGCGAGACTCTCGGACTCTGGTTTCTTGGGCGAGGTGGGAGGCTCGATCAAGTTTGCTGATGTTGAATCACGTGCGATCCAGGAGGAGGCAGGATGCCCCTCAACTGGACTACCTAATTCATAGCCGCGCGGCCCAGCCACACATGCAGCACATCGCACTCGTGCCCGACGCGCCGTGGTTGTAGCTGCACGTAGCTTTACTCGTTCATTTTGCTTCCTCAAGCGCACAACCCCTAACTCGGATCATGGAGCTACCTTGCCGCTTACCGTCTGCGGCCCGTCCTGCGAACGCCTCTCCCCCTGGGTCGAAATTCGGCATGGCCAAGGCCCAACGGGCTGAGAAGGCCGCCGAGGGACGGGAGCTTTGGGACAACACGTGTCAGGCCAATTTTGCTGATCTGTGCGAGGAAGAGGCGGAAGCCGGCAACTCCACCCATGCAGGCGATTCCTCGGACGAGAAACCGATCCCGCTCGGCGAAGCATCTGAGGAAGAGGATCACTGGGCCAATGAAACAATCTTCCAGGCGGCCGCCGCACGAGCAGCCGGGCAGCAATTCCATGTCCACAATAACTTCTTCTCGCCGCTGCAACGGAAAAATTGAGCTGCCCATCTCGTCGTCCAATAATTCGGCCCAGCGTGTGAACTCGCCTGTACCTGCGCAAGCCCGAGGGTCGGAACCAGTGCCAGCCAGCAGGCTTGGGACGGATTTGCCCGACAGCCAGCAGGCCAGCCCTGATAGACCGCAGCCGACGTTTGAAATGCCTCGCGATGTGTGGAGCGCCCATCTTGAACAAAAAGGTAGGTTGAAACCCGACGGTTGCTGCCCAGCTCCCTCTGTTGCCCAATCCGTCGCATTTGGGCTCAAGCCTGGCACTCCCACTTACCTTGGTCAACTGTGTGGTTCGTGGGTTGTAACCGTGAGTCGGCCATCCATGGGCATCATCAGCAGGACCACCTCGGACGCTCTCGCGTGCAGGGCCCCGAATTTCGAGTAGCTTCTGCGAGAAAGGCTCAGGTCGAGCGTGCCACCGCGCTTCGAGACACGAGCAGTTCATGGTGGACTCGACTACATACGGCGCTTCAACACATCAATCGACATCGAGCACGAGGCAATGGACAACTCTAACTACGCCAACTACACGACGCAATCGATCGACTGCTGTGGAGGCGCCCACAGGCGCATCATACACGACAATGACGGCACCCCGCGGGCTCGGTGGCTGGCTGTCCTCACCGCCGCGCGCACTACCTCCGTCGAGCAGATAGTGGACTACGCAGCGGCAGCTGGACTCCTAGCCAAGCGAGCCCAACGCCGAGCCATGAACCAATCTATGCATGAACTTCGAGAGTGGGCAGTGCCATCACCAGCCTTGAGTGTCCTGCACCGTGCGCGCAAACCTCAACCCCAGCCAGCTGAATCGACGCATGTCGGGACCACCACCCTGGTTCACCCCGAGGACCTCCTGTATCAGCCACCAGCTGGCACCAGCTATGGGCCTCATCATGCCAGGCCACCGCAGGGCTCAGCGACCTCTTCGACAGGATCGTTCAACGAGTTCGTGACGAGGATCTTCCACATCTAGACGGCGCTGCAGTGCGACGGGCCCTACGGCGCAAGCGGGCCAACGCAGGCCCTGGCGCTGTCGCCGCCGCTTGGGCGACGCACGCCTCCAAAGCAAATGCCTCGCCACGCTGCTGGGCCTACGCGCGGCTGCACAAAACCCAGCTCGGAAGTTCCCGCGCGAAGCAGTACGGCTCAGCACGTGCATCCAGGCGGGGCCGACGCAGCGGTCCATCGATTTCGCGTGGGACACTGTTGTCAAACATGTTCGGCCCTTGCCTGCTGGGCAACATATGCGCTGCGCTCAGAGGGCACAGTCGGCACTCATCCTCTACCTGCTAGAGCAGGGGTGGGAGCCCCAGCGGCCTCACGAATGGGCTCTCCCACCGACGATCGCGTGGCAAGAAAGCCAGGACACGCGGCAGGTCGACGCAGCGCAGCTCACTCGGAGCCGAGCAGTTGACGTACCAGCGGCTTTGCTCCAGGACATCTATCGCAGCGTACGGGCCAAGTGCTGCCTCCAAGCCAGCACCCACTACGGAGGCTCGGGCATGGAGCGGGGGCCGACAACAGGTCGTATCGCAAGTGGTTGGACTACCTGGCCAAGATGAAGCAGGGCGTCGGACTGCCAACGCTGATGCTCACGATAGCAGTTGGGGGCGCATGGCCCACGGCATGTGCAGTCCCAGACCGGCGCTGCCACCGACGGCCTAAGTCCCCGCTGCCAGCAGACGATAGAAATAGCATCATTCCACCGTGCCTGGGGATGGCGCCGAGTACAAGAGCTGCCCCGTCTACACCACCTCCGAGCAATATGTGGGCGAAGCGATGGCGCAGCAAGATATGTACGAGCGCTTCTGGATGCGAGGGCTCATCCCTCAGGCCTGGACCTCGACGCCACCACCGACCGCCACGCCAGCATGCAGCACATACGGCATCGACCCTGTCACGCCAGATTGCTTCGAGCAGGGCCGCCAGGGCGGATCATTATACATTTTTGGGGACGCCAGCGGTGGAGCTGACATAGCATCGCCAGTACTCAGACGATTGCGCGTGGCCATCGTAGCGTTCACCGACATCGACGCCAATGGTATGGAGCTGGAGATTGCAATATGGGGACCTCTGGCTGGCGACAGGCAGACAGTAGCCAGAGGAGAATTGTGCGCCCTCCTCGTCGCCCTTCAAGTAACATACCATGATGTAGTATATACCACCGATTGCGAAGGGTTCTACTTAAACAGCTACAGCGGTCACCCATAGAGCCCCGAAGGACCCGACGCGGATCTTTCATACCAGGTCGGGCAGCAGTTGAGACGCAGAGATGGTGACTTTATCGTGTTGTTTGTGCGATCGCACATGACAGGAAACATCATATGTGGGCACGCGATTCGGTCACTCGTGTATGACAGTGCGACAGCCGACGAATTCGCCAGTATTTCAGCCGAGGAGCATCGAGAGCCTAAGCAGATACCACAGGATATACACATTGTCTAGAGTTGCCGAGCAGAGCGCCCCAGCAGGTGGGAAACAGCCACGCGGGACCAGAGCCCTACCTGCCAAGCCCCCTGCCCGAGCACTATGTGCAGCTTTCGCCTCCACCCATACGTTGGATGAGACTGGCCGTAAATGCAATGTCTGTAGAAGATCAGCCACCATAGCCCCTAAAGTAGAGTACTATAGGTCTGAACGCTTGAACCTCATCGACACCGATGGCACTTATATGAGACCCCCCTTGGTAAATAGGTGCATGTAGCTGGGGAGTGGATTCATTAAACCCATCGTCCGAGTTTCAACGTGGGGTGGGGATCTGATGTTGCTCCTAATGCGGTATGTTGATCTCCCCTAAATCGGGGAAACTAGCATCCGTTTGCGGACCCCCATCCAACAAGGGATGTCCAGAGGCGAGGGCAGAAACACTGTCAATGGGTGCAGGCGGATTTCATATACATATCGCTTCGCGATCCGGCAGGGTCTGCAGAGTCTCCTCCTCTTTCTCCTCCTCCTCCTCGTTCTCCTCCTCCTCCTCCTCCTCCTCCTCCTCCTCCTCCTCCTCCTCTCCTCGCAATGGCGGGAGCTCGCTTTCTGAGACGACACTGGGCAGACGATTCGGTGCGCGAGGAGGCAATTCAGTGCAGCAAGGCAGCCTGACCTTGCTGACTCCAGCAGAAGGAAGGATGAGGAGGAGGAGGAGGAGGAGGAGGGACGAGGAGGAGGAGGGACGAGGAGAAGTGGGAGCAATGAGGAAGAGAGGAGGAGAAAGGATGAGGGAGTAGGGGAGAGGAGGGAGAATGGGGAGAGGAACGAATAGGGGGAGGGAGGACATGAAGGAACAACAGGAGGAACTATCGCAATCACCTGGGGCACTTGCAGGGTGACCCACAACCTGCCATTCTCCCGCTCGCCAGCACCCTGTGCTTCTGCATTGCACGTGTTTCGCCACTCTGCCTTGAATTGCAGACGACGGCGACGACGACAGCGACGATGATGACCCCAGGACTCTCCAGGAACGCGCTCAAAACCAGGGTGGAGGGGAATCCAGCCGTGGCCACAGGGGCCTCCAGAAGCCCGAGATGGGCGAGAACCATCGAGATCCCTTGCCTGATGATGCCGGCGACGGCGATGGCGACGACAGCGGCGGTGACGACGACTACGTACACTACGGCGACGACGAGGACAGCGTCGGCGGCGACGACGACGCCAACCGATCCCGGGACCACAGTGTTTGAACGCCTCGATCACCAGAAACATTCTCGAACACCAAGAAAGGCCGGAGCTGTAAGGTTTTCACTTGTCAGGCCCTGAGAGGCGATACTCGCTCGACACTTCGGCACCGTGTCGGGCAGACACCGTTTCGATACTTTTCTGGGTGCTCGAAGTTAGTTTCGGGATGTGGTCCTCAAGTACGATGGGAGCAACATAAGGACAGGGTCCTCCATAGATGAGGACAGGGTCCTCAGGAACCTCAATTCGACTCAAACAGAGCGAGAATCATTGGACCCTCTTGCTCCAGGAAGAGGAGGACGACAAAGACGTTAAAGACGACGGACGACGAGTCCCTCCGTTCCCTGTGCGAACAAAGGGCCTTCGGAAACCTCCAGAAACACTTTCGACGTGTGCCGACGAATGCGAAGACGGCGGCGGCGCGCCCGGGGGGAAGTCAACACGAACAGGCCTTCTCAGAAGGGAACGGGGCTACTTAGAAACCCTCTGGCCTTCTGGGAAACGCTCTATCTTCGGGGGAGGCATAGAACACTTTTCAGGAAACTGGGGGACTTCCAAGCTTTCTCAGAAGGCCCACCTTCTCTTTGACGCGGGGTGATTTATGTGTTGTACCTCGGCACTCTAGTGCCCGTTCGGGACGATCCGGGCACCCCGCGACCGCCATCGGCAGGGCGCAGCCGCCGGCATGCACCCCGAGGCTGGACAACAGCCGAGAACCGACGAAAACGCTATCGCGCCTCGAACATCGATTTTCCACCCCCGGGCTAGCCGCCGAAAGACGGCGGCGGCGGAGAGGACCTCCTTGGTCTCGGGCCTCGTCCCCGTGCCTCTGCAGTTGGAGCACAAGGAGGCGGGGTCGACTCCTCTCGGGACGTGCGACGCGCACGGCTCGCGGCACGCGGTCGCCGCCGCCGTCATCCAGCGCCGTCGGCCGTCGGCCGTCGGCCGTCGTCGTCGTCGTCGTCGTCGTCGTCGTCGTCGTGCGTCGTCGTCGTCGTCGTCGTCGTCGTCGTCGTCGTCGTCGTGCGTCGTGCGTCATGCGTCGTCGGTCGTTCGTCGTCGTCGTCGTCGCCGTCGCGGTCGTCGTCGTCGTCGTCGTCGACGTCGTCGTTGTCGTCGCCGTCCTCATCTGTCGTCTGTCGTCCGTCGTCTGTCGTCTGTCGTCCGTCGTCTGTCGTCCGTCGTCTGTCGAAGTCGTCAGTCGTCCGTGGTCCGTCGTCCATCGTCTGTCGTCGTCGTCGGCAGTGGTCGTCGGCGTCGTCGTCGTCGTCGACGTCAGTCGTCAATCGTCCGTCATCGTCCGTCGTGGTCGCGGTCGTGCGTCGTCGTTGTCGTTGTTCGCTCGTCCTGTCCGTCCGTCCTCCTCGTCGTCCGTTGCTGTCGTCGTGTTTCTCTCGTTCCGAAGCGGGGGAACGCGCGGGCGGAGGAGGGGCGAAGGGACGGGGGAGGGCGTGAACTCATATGGGGTCACGCGGAGGAGGCTTTCGTGGGGAATTTCAAAAGGTTTCTTCAAGGCTCTTTGGAGGTCGTCCTCGGCCCTCCTCTCCCTCCCGGTTCCCATCTCCTCCGGTGGAGGCGCAGATGGGGGGTGGAGGGAGGGGGGGGGAATGGGGCGCACGAGTAACATGCTCGAAGCCTCTTGTCGGAAAGGAGGTGGGGGGGAGGGGGGGGGCGGGGGCAAGCAACGGACAGCGGCGTTTCGGGGGTGGGATTCTAACAGCGGCGGTAGCAACTAACAGCAGCTCCGTGTTTCCGCGACGCGTCTTGGATGCAGGGCCGCAGGACTCCCCCGCAGCCTGCTCGGGGCGACCCCTCCTGACCTCGCTGGGCGAAGGGCGGGCGGGGCGTGCAGGGGGCGAAACGCCCGCGGTAATCGCGACAGCACAGCAGGCGCCCCTAAGTCGGATCGGCGATCGAAATGAATCGGATCGGCGGAAGTCGGCAGCCAGGTCGGGAGAAGGCGAACCGGCAGAACTCGGCCGTCTAGTCGGCCTCCAGTAAGAGATCGGAGCCCAGATCAAAATCCGAAGTCGAACCGAATCGGAATCGGGGGCCACCGAACTCGAATCGGAATCGGAAGCCATCGAACTCGAATCGAGTCGGATCGGAGGCACCGAAATCAGCCCTGGCGCGGGGAAGAAAAAGGGCTTGAGGGTCTCAAGGGTGCGCCGAAGGGCGGCAGATGCAGTCCGGCCTCGAAGTCGGCTTCGGCCGCGAGCCACGCGCGCGAGCCGGCGCGCGCGCGCGGGGGGGCGGGCGTTCCTCGCTCTTCCTCCTCCTCCTCCTCCTCCTCCTCCTCCTCCTCCTCGCTCCTCCTCCTCCTCCTCCTTCTCCTCCTCCTTCCCTTTCCCCTTCCCCTCTCCCTCCTCCTCCTCCTCCTCCTCCTCGCTCCTCGCCCCCACTCCCCTCCCCATCAGTCCCCTCTCCAGACTTCATCTGCAAGGGGGTAAAGGAAACGGCGAGCAGAGAAGCCAGGAGCAGGAGACGAGATGGCCCGACCGGGGGGGGGGGAACGGAAACTGAAGGCGAGGAGCGCCCACAAGCGAACGGGGCCCGAAACGGAGAGGAGGCGGGGGCGACGGCAAACGGGAACAGACGAGGGACACGAGGAAGGCGGCAGAGCAAAGCAGACGGGCAACAAGGCAAGGCGGGATAGGATGAAGGGAGATGTTCAGGATAACTCTCAACGCCAAAGCGATCCAAGATTGCTGAAACTGGCTTTCTATAAGATATGGCGCCCTGCTTCAATGTTGCGTGGTTGGTGGGGCCTGGAATCGTGCCGTTTGATATGAAGACCATTCTCCCTTCCCGCCACACTGCGCTTACCCACCCCCCATTCCTACGGGGCCAACAAAAATATACACCACCAACACCACCACCGCCCTCGCCCCTCGCTCTCCACGACAAATGAGAGAACACCGGGGGAAGGAGGAGGGGGGAGAAATGAGGAAGGGAAGGAGGAGGAAATGAGGAGGGAAGGAGGAGGGAAGGAGCAGGGAGGGATTACAATGGGGGTGAAGACTATTCCTGGGCCCCCCGCCCATTCCGGCTGGAAGCTTCATGAAGATGCACGGTCGGAGAAAAAAAAAACTTCAGCATGCGCGCTCACATATAGGGCCCGCAGATCCCGCTTAAAAACCGAGGCCGCGAGCGGGCGGGGGGGGCGGAAGGGGGGCTCCCTTCCAGGCGTCGGCAATGGCAGGGCGCAGCGGAGTGTTTTTGAAAAGGGGCCCTGGGACACGCACAAACGCACACGCACAGACTTTTCGGTCTGCGGGGCGAGAGCGAACCTCTTCCGATAAAAGCTAGGCAGGCTACGCACAGCTCTTATTGGGGAGACACGGCGCAGGCGGGTGAAGCCTCAGGCGGCCGGAGGGCGGGCCGGGGTGCAAACGGCGCCGAGGAGCTTGCACAGGAAAAGGAACGCCTTGGACAGGGGCCGGAGGCGAAGATCCGGAGGATGAGCGGCGTGGTGTTGCTGTCAACGGCGTTTCGTGAACACCATCCTCAAGTGCTGCATAGGAGGACGCTGTACGCGACCAGGTCGGCGTCCAAGGGGGAGAAGTCCACCATGCAGGCGATGGGCAACGTTGTGCCACCGGATGGTGAGGAGGGGGCCCAGGAGAAGAGGAGGACCATGAAGGCGATGCGCAGCGTTGTGCCACCGGGTGGTCGGAAGCGGCCTGGGGCGGTGGTCCAATCCACGTCCAGGAAGCAGCCAGCAAGAGGTGCGGCCAGAGACAGGGCCGTCCGTGTCCGACAGGATGTAGGTGGAGTGCAGGGAGGAAACGTGACCTGCACAGTCAGCGCGTGAAGACGGGCGGGTGCCACACGCGATGCGCTGACGTCCGCATGGCCGATGGCCGGGCCTGAGCCGCACAGCGCCAAGGCGAGCGGGGACTCCGAGGCGGCAGGGTGCAGTGCCCAGCGCCGGGCCGAAACCGCGCTGTACCGGGCGATGCCGCCATGGGAAGGGGGGGGGGAAGCGAACGGGGGGGGGGCGAAGCGAACAGGGAGGAGAAAGGCCGGCATCTCCCGCCAGCCGAAGTCGCGTCAGCCTGCACCGTGGGTGCTCACGTGGGGGACACGCCCCTACGGGTACAGGTAGGACACAAGGTCCCATTGCAGGTAAAAACAAGGCGTGCCACGCCAGTCGTCGATGCTCCAGTCTGCGTCGCAGATGTTCACAGGGGGAGCGGCCCCCGATGGGTACAGGTGGGACACAAGGTCCGAAATCCCTGAAGTCACAAGGGGAACGGCCCCCGATGGGTACAGGTGGGACGCAAGGTCCCAGATCCTTGAAGACGGGAAAAGGGGAGGGGAGGAGACGGACAAGCCGGGGACCAGGTGGAGTGGCAAGTAGTCGTAGCCCGTGGAACGTGGGTGCCACTAGGGCAACGGGGTGCAGGTGGGGGGGAAGGGGAGGACACGCGGTCCCAAGCCAGGTGAAAGAGGCGGGCTGGGGGTCGGGGGCGCAAGTGGTGGGAGCGCGGGGGAGGCTGCGTTGCGCTGCCGTGGGGCGAGGGGGGATCAGCGGGCAACGGGGCACAGGTGGGGGGGAAAGGGGCGGGACACAGGCGGTGGGAGTGCGGGGGCGGTTGCGTCGTGCTGTCATGGGGAGGGGGGGTCAGGTCGTCGGCGGGTCAGCGCCGCGGGCGCTTTCCAGTCCAGGTGTCGTGGTGCCCGGGGTGCGCGCCTGGTCCTCTTCGCGCCCGTCACCCTCGGCGACCTCTCTTTTCCTTTGTGCGTCCTGGTACAGCCTCTGCTCCCTATCCCAGTCCACGTAGACGCCTGCGCTGCGGGGCCACGCCTCCACGTGATGGTTGTTTGTGCTCATGTCATCCAGGAATTTGTCAATGATCCAATGCTGCCAGCGGCTCGGGTCGAGAGGGACCTGATCTTTGGATTTGCCTTTGCCCTGCTCCTTGCACATGTGCCTGCGCCACGAATGCCAGGCTGCGTTGAAGTGGTACCTCCTTCCGCCTGCAGCCTTTTCAAGTGTGTGACTGCTGTCTCGCGTGGGCGGCGCTGCCAGCCAACGCGGAAGATTGCCCGCGTCCGGCTGGCGTCGGGGTGGCGGCGTTCGTCCCTGTGGCAAGAGCTGCGCGATTCTGGCTGGCGCCAGGGGGGGCTCTCTGTGCCCCTGCCACTGCCGTGGTCCTGGTCCCAGTAGCGCCCCCTGGGCGCAGGGGGCGCAGGGGGCGCAAGGGGGGCGCGGGCGCAAGGGGGCGTCGGGGAAGGCAAGGGATGAAGGCAAGGGTGCCAGCGAGACACAGGGAGGGAAGGGTGCAAGGGGGCCTCTTCGTCGGAGTCGTGAGGAACCACCGCTGCTGGTCTAAAGGGTCCTGCTTCGCTTGGAAAGGTCCGCTGGCCGCCAGGGTTGCTCGGTGGGGCATCGGGGCTCAGACAGCGGGGGGCGCGAAGGTCCGGGTTGCCGGCGAGTTGGCGCGGATGCTTTTTAGTCGTGTCAGAAATGTGAGGAGGCTGCTGCTGACGCCGGGGGGCTGTCACCACGTAGTTGTCGTTGTCTTCGTCCTCCAACACTTCCACCGCCGATTCCTGACTGCCAGAAACGTGCGGAACGTCTCCGTTCCCGTCGCTGTGAGTCCGGATGGTCCGCTGCGAGTCCGGATGGTCGTCTGTCGTCGCCACGGGGCGTCGAAGTGGTCCGCGCTCAGGGCGGTCGTCGGGAAAGGGGCTGGGGCTCGAGACGCCGCGATTTGTATCTGGCGTAACGTGCCCCATTTCACATGGGAAATTCGACAATATCGAAACCGCGTCCCCTTCAGGCCTAACGGGCCCCACTTCAGCAGTGGCAATACCCTCCAGATGGTCGTCTGTCGTCGTCACGAGGCGTTGAGGT